TCCGTTTTAAGTTTAACAGAAAAAAGAAGCCAATTGTGTCAGTGGTGCTGCCTTTTATGACTCTGGTGCACTAAGTTGTGATTATGCTTAAACACTTACTTAAACGCTGGTGCTATTGGTAGTGGTTTCGGTTGTTATGGTCTTAGTCGTGGTACTTTCTAGAGTTGCGGTGCCAGCTGTTGTGCTCTCAGTTGTTGTGGTGCCAGTTGTGGTGCTTTCTGGAGTTGTGGTGCCAGTTGTGGTGCTTTCAGTTGTTGTGGTCTCAGTTGTGGTGCTTTCTGGAGTTGTGGTGCCAGTTGTGGTGCTTTCTGGAGTTGTGGTGCCAGTTGTGGTGCTTTCTGGAGTTGTGGTCTCAGTTGTGGTACTTTCTGGAGTTGTGGTGCCAGTTGTGGTGCTTTCAGTTGTTGTGGTGCCAGTTGTGGTGCTTTCAGTTGTTGTGGTCTCAGTTGTGGTGCTTTCTGGAGTTGTGGTGCCAGTTGTGGTGCTTTCGGTTGTTGTTGTGCCAGTTGTGGTGCTTTCGGTTGTTGTGGTCTCAGTTGTGGTACTTTCTGGAGTTGTGGTGCCAGTTGTGGTGCTTTCGGTTGTTGTGGTGCCAGTTGTGGTGCTTTCGGTTGTTGTGGTCTCAGTTGTGGTACTTTCTGGAGTTGCTTTCGGTTGTTGTGGTGCCAGTTGTGGTGCTTTCTGGAGTTGTGGTGCCAGTTGTGGTGCTTTCGGTTGTTGTGGTGCCAGTTGTGGTGCTTTCGGTTGTTGTGGTGCCAGTTGTGGTGCTTTCTGTTGTTGTGGTGGAGTTGTGGTGCCAGTTGTGGTGCTTTCTGTTGTTGTGGTCTCAGTTGTGGTGCTTTCTGGAGTTGTGGTGCCAGTTGTGGTGCTTTCGGTTGTTGTGGTCTCAGTTGTGGTACTTTCTGGAGTTGTGGTGCCAGTTGTGGTGCTTTCGGTTGTTGTGGTCTCAGTTGTGGTACTTTCTGGAGTTGTGGTGCTTTCGGTTGTTGTGGTGCCAGTTGTGGTGCTTTCAGTTGTTGTGGTCTCAGTTGTGGTGCTTTCTGGAGTTGTGGTGCCAGTTGTGGTGCTTTCGGTTGTTGTGGTGCTTTCGGTTGTTGTGGTGCCAGTTGTGGTGCTTTCTGGAGTTGTGGTGCCAGTTGTGGTGCTTTCGGTTGTTGTGGTCTCAGTTGTGGTACTTTCTGGAGTTGTGGTGCCAGTTGTGGTGCTTTCTGTTGTTGTGGTCTCAGTTGTGGTGCTTTCTGGAGTTGTGGTGCCAGTTGTGGTGCTTTCGGTTGTTGTGGTCTCAGTCGTGGTACTTTCTAGAGTTGTGGTGCCAGTTGTGGTGCTTTCGGTTGTTGTGGTGCCAGTTGTGGTGCTTTCGGTTGTTGTGGTTTCAGTTGTTTTACTTTCTGGAGTTGTGGTGCCAGTTGTGGTGCTTTCGGTTGTTGTGGTCTCAGTTGTGGTACTTTCTGGAGTTTTGGTGCCAGTTGTGATGCTTTCGGTTGTTGTGGTCTCAGTTGTGGTGCTTTCTGTTGTTGTAGTTTCAGTTGTGGTGCTTTCTGGAGTTGTGGTGCCAGTTGTGGTGCTTTCGGTTGTTGTGGTGCCTGTTGTGGTGCTTTCTGGAGTTGTGGTGCCAGTTGTGGTGCTTTCTGTTGTTGTGGTCTCAGTTGTGGTGCTTTCTGGAGTTGTGGTGTCAGTTGTGGTGCTTTCGGTTGTTGTGGTGTCAGTTGTGGTACTTGCTGGAGTTGTGGTGCCAGTTGTGGTGCTTTCGGTTGTTGTGGTGCCAGTTGTAGTGCTTTCGGTTGTTGTGGTGCCAGTTGTGGTGCTTTCTGGAGTTGTGGTGTCAGTTGTGGTGCTTTCGGTTGTTGTGGTCTCAGTTGTGGTACTTTCTGGAGTTGTGGTGCCAGTTGTGGTGCTTTCTGTTGTTGTGGTTTCAGTTGTGGTGCTTTCTGGAGTTGTGGTGCCAGTTGTGGTGCTTTCGGTTGTTGTGGTCTCAGTTGTGGTGCTTTCTGGAGTTGTGGTGCCAGTTGTGGTGCTTTCGGTTGTTGTGGTCTCATTTGTGGTGCTTTCTGGAGTTGTGGTGCCAGTTGTGGTGCTTTCGGTTGTTGTGGTGCCAGTTGTGGTGGTTTCGGTTGTTGTGGTGCCAGTTGTGGTGCTTTCGGTTGTTGTGGTCTCTGTTGTGGTACTTTCTGGAGTTGTGGTGCCAGTTGTGGTGCTTTCGGTTGTTGTGGTCTCAGTTGTGGTACTTTCTGGAGTTGTAGTGCCAGTTGTGGTGCTTTCGGTTGTTGTGGTGCTTTCGGTTGTTGTGGTCTCAGTTGTGGTACTTCCTGGAGTTGTGGTGCCAGTTGTGGTGCTTTCGGTTGTTGTGGTCTCAGTTGTGGTGCTTTCTGGAGTTGTGGTGCCTGTTGTGGTGATTTCTGTTGTTGTGGTCTCAGTTGTGGTGCTTTCTGGAGTTGTGGTGCCAGTTGTGGTGCTTTCGGTTGTTGTGGTCTCAGTTGTGGTGCTTTCTGGAGTTGTGGTGCCAGTTGTGGTGCTTTCGGTTGTTGTGGTCTCAGTTGTGGTACTTTCTGGAGTTGTGGTGCCAGTTGTGGTGCTTTCGGTTGTTGTGGTCTCAGTTGTGGTGCTTTCAGGAGTTGTTGTGCTTATTGTCATACTATTTGTAGTTGTGCTTTCCTCTCTTGTCATGCTTTCTGCTCCTGTAGTCGCAGGTGTTGTAGCCACTGGGGTTTCAGCTATTGTGGTACTGTCTGAAGTTCTTGTGCTTCCTGGAGTTGTGCTGCTTTCTGGAGTGAAAATAATATGCTTGTCAATAAAATGTGTATTTAAGGTCAGTTTATACTCATGTTGCCACATATAGAGATGCAATTTAACATAGATGAGGAACTTTTTAGGAATGAATAAGCATTTATTACTTGACACTTTATTTTGTAAAGGGCTTTAAGTGCATTAACCTGTCTCAAGACCAGTGATGTTTAGAAATAGACAGACCAACGTCAAGACACAGATGTGTGTAGTAGTTGTATAGAGCAGATGCTTTTTTTCTATGTGCTATACTTTTTTGGCAAGTATTGTACTTTTACTAGAGTATTTTTTCAGTGCTCTTTCCATCACTACTTAAGAGTCACTTAGGAATTAGATAAGAAAAATTGTGTTATACTTTCTTCATCTTTTGTTTAATGCTAGTTCATATTCTTAGTGCATTACACAACCTACTGAATAATTGCTTTACTCATTAAACCTTTATTCATGTGTTATTACTGTGAAAAAGAGCGTTTGTTTAATCTAAAAATATATTTTTAAAATAAAGTAAAACAAGTGCAAGAAAGCCTTTTCTATTTTTCATTCACATATGTTGATGGTGAGCCTAT